GTATCTGCAGTCAGGCGACATTCACATTGTCGCAGTGTTCAGTGTCACACGCGAGTCCCAGCCCTGCATTAGACCCTCCACCAAACTCACACTGTCGCATGCTGCAGGGGGTGCTGACGCCCTTTGACAACGTGAATGGATTTGAGCGGCGTGTCATGCACAGCAAGGCTGGGCCTTCAGGCCGCGCCAGCCCAGAAGGTGGGTCTGTGGTGGCAGGCGTGTTGCTGGTTGGAGGCTGGGAGGAGGACAGAATGTGTAGGGACGAGGGTGCCAGTGATGCATGCAGCAGGGATGTGTATGCCTGTCAGGTAGTCCTGGAATGGCAGCAGCCACCCCTGGGATACCATCTCCCTGGGGCCCTCATCCACTTCCAGCAGAGGAGCCGGGGTCCGAGGCCGCCCAGCGCATGGCCGCCAGGCTGGCGAGCATCAAGGCTGCCCGCCACACCACCAGGCTGCTGGACGCCCAGGACCTGCCTCAGCAGGAACGCCCCACCAAGTGCGCTTCAGGAGTAGGGGAATGGGGGTGCGGGAAAGGCGACGTGTGCGTCTGGACCACCCTCCTGCGAATGCAGTGCCATGGGAAATGTGTTTGACATATCAGTTGGAACCGGGAGCATCTCACAGGCACGACCACCCTTCTCCCACCCTCAGGCGCGTGGACGAGGGGTACTGGCGGCAGGGCAACTCCGAGTACGTGCAGCCCGCCAAGCGGCGACGGCGCCCCCGCCTGCGCAAGCTGCGTGGCCCGCGGGAGGAAAGCGCGTCGTCGGGTGAGGACGTGGGCGGCGAGCGCGACGACGCCGACGAGGCGAACTTTGACGCCCGCCAGGCCGCGCGAGCGCGGCGCCGGGACCGGGGGGCCGCCGAGGAGGGCGGGTCTGGCAGCGAGGCGGAGCCGGAGGAGGATGCCCTGGTGGAGTTTGAGGGCGGGTTCCGCATCTCCGCAGGTGTGGTGCGGTGTGGTGTTGCAAGGTGGAGGGGGAGGAAGGGAACGGGAGCGCAAGGAGCTGCAAGACTCGTGAGGCAGGGGCTGGGGTTGCGAGGGCATCAGCCGCATCCGCATGCTCCATCACCCTTGTTTTCCTGACTCGCTGCAGCAGCAGCCCTTCACTGCAGTTCGATATGATGCCCTCCCCTTCCTGGCCATGCCCGTCTCCGCCCCCCCCTCCCTCCACCAGGCATCTACGACCGGCTGTTCGAGTACCAGCGCACCGGGGTCAAGTGGCTGTGGGAGCTGCACACCCACCGCACCGGCGGCATCCTGGGCGACGAGATGGGGCTGGGCAAGACGGTGCAGATCGGGGCCTTCCTGGCAGGCCTGCTGGCCAGCGGCCTGTATCGCCCCAGCCTCATCGTCTGCCCCGCCACAGTGCTGCGCCAGTGGCTGCGCGAGCTGCGCGCCTGGGCGCCGGACCTGCGCGTCGGCATCATGCACGGCCTGGCGGGGGGCGCGCGCGGCGCGCAGGCGTTGGTGTGCGAGCTGGCAGGCAGTGCCGCGGGCCTGCTGCTCACCACCTACGAGCACATGCGGCTGCAGCGCGAGCTGCTGCTGAGCGTGGACTGGGGTTACGTAATCCTGGACGAGGGCCACAAGATCAGGTGTGTTTTTTTGGGGGGAGGGGGGGGTGCCAAGGTGGGAGCTGGATGTGAGGAGTGGGGGGGGGGGGAGGGAGAAGAGGAGTGGGGAATGAGACCCTGGTTGCATCACGCAATTCTTCCCCCTGCGCTCCGTACATGCCCTGGCCTCCCAGACACTCACTCCAACCCCACATTCGGGCCCCCCTCTCCTCATCACCAGAAACCCGGACGCGGAGGTGACGCTGACGGCCAAGCAGATGCCCACCGTGCACCGCCTGATTCTCACCGGTGCGCCCATCCAGAACCGCCTGACTGAGCTCTGGTCCCTCTTCGATTTTGTGTTCCCGGGCAAGCTGGGCACGCTGCCGGTGTTCCAGGCTCAGTTCGGGCTGCCCATCCAGATCGGGGGCTACGCCAATGCCTCGGCCCTCCAGGTATCCACCGCCTACAAGTGCGCGGTGGTGCTGCGGGACGTGGTGGGGCCCTACCTCCTGCGCCGGCGCAAGGCCGACGTAGACGTGGCGCTGCCCCCGAAGACCGAGCAGGCACGGTGGCGATAGTGGGGTGTGGCGGGGTGGGGTTTGGGGGGTGGGGTCGTGTGGTTCATGGTCGGCTTAGGGACAGCACGTGCCTGTTAAATTATTCCCAGTGAGTCCCTGATGCCAGGCGCTGCGCGGTGCCCTGGAAGTGATCAGCCATGCTGCAATGATGAGGCTCATCTAGACAATGCAAAGAGGCTGCCCCTCCGTCCAATGGAACGCACCCCTCACCCCCTCGCCCCTCACCAACATTCTGCGCAGGTGCTGTTCTGCATGTTGACCCCGGTCCAGCGCGACCTATACAAGGCTTACCTGGCCAGCAAGGACCTGAAGGACATCTTCGCGGGGCACCGGGCGGCACTGGCGGGCATCGACATCCTGCGCAAGATCTGCAACCACCCAGACCTGCTGGACCGGGCGCGCTGGGAGGCCTCGGAGGTGTGTGGGGAAGATGGGGAGTGAGGGAGGGGTGCCAGGTGTCCCGGGAGGGTAGAATGACAGCCTTGCATGACTGTGTACGTTTGGCGGGTGACCATCCTGTATACACTGCGCCTCGATCCGTGGGAGTCTGGGCTGAGGGGTGCTGCCTTTAGGGAGGGTACTGCATGGCGATGTTGCAGCCACAGATTCAATTCTCTCTCCTCGAACACAATGTCCGCTTGCAGGACTATGGCAAGCAGGAGCGAAGTGGAAAGCTGGTGGTGCTGGCACGCGTGCTGAAGCACTGGCATGCCCAGGGCCACAAGTGAGGTGCCGGGGGTGGACCAGAGAAACATTTGGGTGGAAGGCCGGTACCGCCACCACGCTGCTTACCAGACTGTGTGGCCTCCTTCACAAAGTCTCATGCAGTCCGCTGATGCTTACCCTTGCACCCCTCTCTCTGCCACAGGGCCCTGGTCTTCACCCAGACGCAACAGATGCTGGACATCGTGGAGAAGACCGTGAACACCGAAGGGTACCGCTACCACCGCATGGACGGCGCCACCGCCGTCTCGCAGCGCGCCCTCCTCATGGACGACTTTAACGACAACCCCAATGGTGTGTGTGATGTTGTGCGTGTTATCGTGGGTTGATGCTGGTCACACATTGGCCTCGCCTTCCTTCAGTTACCAGAGCTGTGCCAGGTGGCGCCCACCACCACCGCGTGGGACCTGCTACTGCAGAGCATCCTGTCTTCCTGTCTTGATGTGCCCGCGGCATGGCACACACATGCACCCAGCCCAAATCCACCCCTTACCACATGCGCAGTCTTTCTTTTCCTGCTCACTACCCGTGTGGGCGGCCTGGGCGTCAACCTCACGGGCGCGAATCGCATTGTCGTCTTCGACCCGGACTGGAACTTTTCAACAGATGTCCAGGTGCGGCAGCTGCTGGGGTGCCGAGGTGCTTTGGGAGGGCCTGCGCTGATCATGGCATGCATCAGTCGTTGGGTGCCAAGAGAACCCCGTCGCCTAGCACCACGCCAGGCAGGTCGCCCCCGTCTCAGGTCCTGGCGCCCAGCCCATGGATTGGCATCGCACCGTCCTGACCATCTGACATTTCTGCATGCTCTTCTCTGTTTAATCCCCCCCCCCCCCGCCATCCTCATCCCCTCCCCAGGCGCGGGAGAGGGCGTGGCGCATCGGCCAGACGCGGGACGTGACGGTGTACCGCTTCGTGACCAGCGGTACGATTGAGGAGAAGATCTACCACCGCCAGGTGTACAAGCAGTTCCTGTCGGACAAGGTGCTGCGCGATCCCCGCCAGCGCCGCTTCTTCAAGGCGCGCGACATGCACGACCTGTTCACGCTGGGCGGCGAGTACCAGGACGGCACCGAGACCAGCGCCATCTTCGGCGACGCGGGGTTCCTGCACCACCACCCGGGGCCCGATGTGGTGGAGGGCGGGGCGGGCGGCGACGCGGCTGGGGTCGCCGACGGAGGAGATGCTCTGGAGGCGGATGCGCGGGGCCGCAGCCCCGACGCCGCGGCCACGGCGGCGGGCGGCGCGGCAGGAGACGCGGCGGGGGCCCTGGGGCTGGTCACGGCGGCCGCGCCCTCGGCCGCCCCCGCGGCGCCGACGCCGGGGGGCGACACCGGCATCCTGAAGGACCTGTTCGAGGGCACCGGGCTGCACAGCGCGCTGGACCACAGCGCGATCGAGCACGCCAACGACCCGGGGACGCTGGAGGTGGAGAGGGAGGCCGGGCGCGTGGCGCGCGCCGCGGCGGCGGCCCTGCGCGCCTCGCGCGCCGAGCTGGCGGCCAACCCCATCTCCCAGCCCACGTGGACGGGGCGGTCGGGGGCGGCGCCGCGCTTCGGCCGCGCAGTCGCTGGACTGGGCACTGCACCGCCTGGGCCGGGGCTGCCGCGCGACGCGGCGCTGCGCCCCGGCGGCGGCGCGCCGCACTCCAGCGAGCTGCTGGCGCGCATGCGGGCACGCGCCCGCGGCGAGGGCGCCGGGGCGGCGGCAGGTCTGGGTGCGGGAGCGGCAGCGGAAGGGGCGGCAGGCACGGCACGAGGCGGCGGGCCGGGCGCGGGACGGCCGGGGACACCAACGAGTACCGGGCAGTCAAATCCAGCGACACTAGCCTCCGGTCCGCAGCGCCTCGCCTCGGCGGTGGTCCAGTTCCTGGAAGGGCTTGGGGGATCCGCACCGTCTGCGGCCCTGGTGGAGCATTTCCAGGAGACGTTGCCTGCCGCACAGCTCCCCTTGTTCCGGGGGGTCCTGAAATCCGTGGCCACCCTGAGGAGGAGGGATGGCGCCAAGCTGTGGGTGCTCAAGCCCGAATTCAGTGGCGCCGGCTGAGCTCAGGCGTCGTGGAATTCATGCTCTTGTTGACAGGCTGCGCTTCGTCGGCCACCCCTGGGAAGTCTGCCCCTGCTGCAAGCTAGCTCTTCAGCTCCGTGGAACAGATCTCCCTTGTACATTTGCTCACGTGCTTCCTCGCTCTCATGAGGGTGTACCTCCTCCCATTGACTGTTTTCCTTCCTACTTGAAGGAATGATTCGTGATGTTGTGTGTGGACCTCAGACCAAGGTGTGAAGGGGTGCTGCGAAACCTCGAGGAGCTTGCTCAGCATGGGTAAAGGCGACAGCGATTCGCTCAGTCACATACTGCAGAGCACCATTGAATCATCCAAGCCAATAAAGAGATCTATGCGAGAGGCTCGTCCACACAGCAAAGGTCATGGCTCAGGTTCCACCCTGCTCATTTCCCGGCAAGTGGATCATTCTGTCAAGTCAGTCCTATTTTGAAGAGGGCACACTCACAGGGAGTGGGTTGTCATGGTCACGTCACGGCATTGAGAGCAGGCACGGCCGCTGTGTTTGTGAGGTCTGAGATGTCGGGCCATATGCTCTTCTGTCAGAATTGAAACCTAGAATCCAAGATATCACTGAGGAGCTCTGAGCTTTGGCGGCTGACCCTACTCCGCACCTGCCCATCACACCTGCGTCCGGTCACAGGTGCCCTCCACCTGTTTGCGACCTGCACTGGCAGGCACAGGACCTCGAGCATCGGCTTTGCGGGTTCATATCATCATGGTGAGGAGCCGGCATGCATGCGCAGGGCCAGTCTCATCCCACATGAGGCATGTGCCCAAGCCACCGCTCCTCATGTCCCTCACCGGTCAGCGCAGGCAGCTGTGTGCAAAGCAGCTCTGACTGCAGCCCCGCCTGGGCACCATTCCGGGGAGGGGTTCAACAGGTGGTCCCCCCTTTTCCTGCGTGCTGGTGGCAGCCTGGCGCGCTGCCCCTTCAGCATCCCAGGTGGTGCACTCCCGACCACTGCATGTGCCTCAGTCCATGGCCGGGTATCGTCCCCTCCCCATCGCTCGCTGCGAGCTCGAGGCGGCCACCTGACCCCCCGGAGCCTCCGGCCGGATCCCCGCCGGGCGCGCCGCCAGCCTGTCGCCCAGTCGCTCAGCCAGGTCAGCGTCCTCCCCGCCCCGCGTGCTCAACAGCAGGTCCAGCCACTGGTCCCGCTCCAGGAGGCTCGGCTCGCGCCCCGCCGCCTCCAGCAGGTCCTCCGCGCCTTCCACACCGCGCAGCAGGCGCAGCAGCTCGTGGACGGGGCGCAGGGAGGCGGCGGCCCTCAGTGCCTGGCCGTGCCGGCCGCCGCTCCCCCCCGGAGCGCCAACCAGGGCCGCCTGCACGGGACCGTGTCGCGGAGGGTTTGGTTGGTTTCAAGAGACCGGAACACATGCAGCCGAGGACTGGCGGGGCCACAATTCCAGACCGCCCGCAAGCTCAGACGAGGCCGCAGTGAGGTGCGCTGATCCCGGAGGAGGGCCATCCGGTCATGCCCGGCGCTCATCAGTAGAGCAAGACCTGTCTGCAGTTGGTTTCAAGAGACCGGAACACATGCAGCCGAGGACTGGCGGGGCCACAATTCCAGACCGCCCGCAAGCTCAGACGAGGCCGCAGTGAGGTGCGCTGATCCCGGAGGAGGGCCATCCGGTCATGCCCGGCGCTCATCA